AATATGAACCATAAGTAACAATGCACAAACACCAGAAGAAAAAACAGATAACTGGGAGCTCCTAAAAATCAAATCCTTACGCTCATCAAAAGACTTCACCAAAAGAGTAAAAAGATAACCTAAAGACCGGGAAAAACTTTTTGGCTATGACAAATCCCATCAGTGTCTAATCTCTAAAATCTACAAGATACTACAAAATCACAAGAAGAAGACAAATAACTCAATTAAACAATGGCAAAGGATATGAACAGACACTTTGCCAAAGAAGATATTCAGGCAGCTAAGAGACACATGAGGAAATGCTCAGGATCATTAGCCATTAGAGAAATGCAAGTTATAACTACCATGAGATACCATCTCACCCCATCTTAATCCAAAAAACACAAAATAATAAATGTTGGAGAGGTTGTGGAGAGACTGCAACACTTATACACTGTTGGTGGGAATGTAAAATAGTACAACCACTTTGGAAATTGATTTGGCACTTCCTTAGAAAGCTAGAAATAGAAGCACCATAGGATCCAGCAATCCTGCTCCTTGGAATATATCCTAGAGAAATAAGAGCCGTCACACGAATAGATATATGCACACCCATGTTCACTGCAGCACCATTCACTATAGCAAAAAGACGGAAACAACTCAGGTGCCCATCAATGGATGAATGGATAAACAAATTATGGTATATTCACACAATGGAATACTACACAACGATAAAGAACAACAATGAATCCGTGAAACATCTTATAATGTGGAGGAATCTGGAAGGCATTATGCTGAGTGGATTTAGTCAGTCACAGAAGGTCAAATATTGTATAAGACCACTATTATAAGAAAACATTCTTTGATGGTTATGAGGGTGGGGAGAGAGGGAGAGGGTTATTCACTAACCAGATAGTAGACAACGACTATCTGAGGTGAAGGGAAGGACAGTACGCAGTACAGGGTAAGTCAGCACAACTGGACTAAACCAAAGCTAAGAAATTTCTTGAATACAACTAAACACTTTGAGGGACAGAGTAGCAGGGGTGGGGGTCTGGGGACCATGCTTTCAGGGGACATCTAGGTCAACTGGCATAACAAAGTTTATTAAGGAAAGGTTCTGCATCCTACTTTGGTGAGTGGTGTCTGGGGTCTTAAAGGCTAGCAAGCGGTAATCTAAGATGCATGAATTGGTCCCAACCACCTGGAGTAAAGAAGAATGAAGAATACCAAAGACAGTAGGAAAGTATTAGCCCAAGAGAAAGAAAGAGCCATATAAACCAGAGACTCCATCAGCCAGAGACCAGAAGAACTAGATGGTGCCTGGCTACCACAAATGACCGCCATGACAAGGAACACAACACAGAGTCCCTGATGGAGCAGGAGAAAGTGGGGTGCAGAACTCAAATTCCAGTAAAAAGGCCAGACTTAATGGTCTGACTGAGACTGGAGGAACCCCAGAAAGCATGGCCCCCGGATTCTCTGTCATCCCAGAACTAAAACCATTCCCAAGGTCAACTCTTGAGACAAAGATTAGACTGGACTATAGGACATAAAATGATACTCGTGAGGAGTGTGCTTCTTAGCTCAAGTAGATACATGACAGTAAATGTGCAGCTCCTGTCCAGAGGTGAGATGAGAAGCCAGAGAGGGTCAGGAGATGGTTGAACGGACACGGGACATCAGGGGTGGAAAGGAGGAGTATGCTGTCACGGTATAGGGAGAGCAATTAGGGTTACATAAGTGTAAATTTTTGTATGACAGACTAAACTGAATTGTAAACTTTCACATAAAGTACAATAAGAGTAGAAATCAGAAAAAAAAAGTTTTTAACATAAAAGTACCACAGTGAAAACAGTATTAAGAGAAGAGACATATCCAGAGAATGTTGCACGAAATACATGAAGTACAAGTGATCAAATACCTTAGTAAAGTTTGTTGTCTTGGGTGGGGGGAGAAAACTAGACAGACAACACAAAAAAGGGGAAATGTCATCCATCTTGAACCAGAAATAAAAGTCTCTGCAGTGGTTGAGTGCTTGGTTGTTAACCGAACCCACCAGCCGTTTCAGGGGAGAAACATTTGGCAGTCTGCTGCCTTAAAGATTACAGTCTTAGAAACCCTATGGGCAGTTCTACTCTGTCCTATAGGGTCGTTATAAGTTGGAATCGACTCAGTGGCAATGGGTTTTGTTTTGTTTTAGACAATCTAAACATGATGGGAGTTGGGGTAGGGGTAAGGGACTATAGACCAAGGGAAAAGAGAGCATGCCAAAGTTCTAATCTTATTACCGAGGAGTTATAAATACAAGGTTTTTTTGTTTTTTGTTTAAAGTTATCTGACTCATAGTGACCCCGTATGTGAGAGTACAACTGCTCCATGGTGTTTTTGAGGTTGTGACCTTTTGGAAACAGATCGCCAGGCCTTTCTTCCAAGGGGCCTCTGGGTGGGTTCAAACTGCCAACCTTTTGGTTAGAAGTTGGGTGCTTAACTTTTTGCGCCACCTAGAGACTTCTTTTTTTTAAAGCTAGGAAGGGTTAAAAACATAAAAAAGTGGAAGAAAAAATTAAAGAGGTAGAAACAATATATCAGTATATTGTTCTAAATATGTTGAAAATTAATAGATATAAATGGACTAAATTCAGCAGCTACACAATTATAAAGTGTTCAATCCACAAGACAGAGGAATTTGAAACATGATGTTTCTAACAAAATAGCCTAGAAATATATATAGCAAAAATTGACAGACATACCAGGAAAAACTGATAACTGATAACATACAGAGCCAATAATTAGACTCCACAAAAATCATACGCTAGGCCATAATGCAAGTTTCAAAATTCCAAAAAATAGGTATTACCAGACCATGATTTGATTACAACATATTTAAGATAGAAGGTTAATACAAAAATATAAATTAAAAATCACGTATCTGGACATTTAAAGACATGCTGCTAAATAACTCAGGATTAGAGAAATCATAAAGAAATGTACAAAATACTTAAAATTGAATACCAATGAAAATATTACATATCAAAAACTGTGATGAGCAAAAGTGGTGCGTCAAGGAATTTATTAGGTACATATATCACAACAACAAAATACTTACTTATACTCTAAGAGGGTTTTCTCAAATGCAGACAAAACAATACCCAACTCCATGATGTCATTGGTTTTCTTTCCTTCTAGACACCAAATAAATGCACTGTCGAAAATATCACTATCTAGAACATTAAAATAAATCAATTTACAGATTATTCATAATTTGGCTCTAGGCCAGGGCTCTGAAAGCCTGAAACAAAAACAGTCCCACCAAATTACTAAAGATGGCTATAGCCAAAGAAACATGTGAGGAAACACACTCTCATCTTCTCATCCCAGTACATAGTCTCACAAGCTCCCGCCTTCTCTGTCACTCACTGCTGTCTCCTCAGCTCTCCTAGGATCCTTGCTGAAGCAGTCCAAAACACTGCTGCATTTTGGTTACCTTGCTGTGCCTTTATTTATAGTCTGCTCTTACTCAGTACTACTACGGGTGATAAGAGCTCTTTTCTGTTAATCGTATTTTCTCAATTTTAATCTATCTGTAGGCCACTTCTAGAATACATCATGATTACTTGATATATTAATTTAAATAGTTGTAGTAATATATGGAAATATACTGGACCTAGGTTCTGCTTTGAGCTTCTTTACTTACTAGTCATAACATCTCAGGCAGATCATTTAACCTTCAAGAGCCCCAGCTTCCTCATAGGTAAAATGGAAGGAAAAAAAAATGTATGTTCTGCCTTTTATGTTTGCTTTGGGACTTGAGCATTAAAATATCTGTGAATGCATTTCCCAAAACTATAAATTACTATACATTTGTAAGGTGCTATTATCTGTCAATTTCTAATTAATACCCAAATTATCTTTTGTATGTTAACAAAAGGCATTAACAGTATAGCCCACTCTTCCCGTAACTAATTCCTCATTTAATACCTCAAAACTGATGAGCATACTGATTGTGAGCTCTGATTCACACTGACCTGAACTCAATTCTGGGCTGTGATGGGTTAATGACAGCCATAAATTCTTTGCCACTCCTCCCTATCTCCCTTCCTCTTGAATCTGGGCCGGCCCTGTGACTGGCTTGATCAATAGAATACAATGGAGTGATGTTGCACAACTTCCAAGGCTAGGACTCAAGAGATCTGCAGCCTCTGCTTTTTGCTGTCACATGAAATTCTGACTCTCAAACCACAAGGAAGACCAAGCTAGCCACATGGAGAAAGAAAGAGGTCATGTGGAGGGGCACTAAAGAATCAGACATGTGAACGGAGCCTTTTGAGACCTTCCACCCCAGCTCAGCCATCAAATGAATGCAGCCAAATGAGCAGAATCAAAACTGTAAACCAATAAACTGGTTGCTGTTTTAATTCAGGGACAAATAACAAATATTTTTAGCTTTGTGGGCCAACTACTCAACTCTGCCATTGAAGCACAAAAGCAGCCATACACAATATGTAAAAAATGAACATAGCTATATCCCAATTTTCAAAGTTGCAATGAGCCAAATTTGGACTGCACGCCAGTTTTCTGACCACTATTTTAAATCACTAGATTCTGGGGTGGTTTATTATGCATCAATAGATACCTAAAACATGGCTGAGCCCATTTAAGGCTGTGCAACTTCAGACAAGTTTTTTGATATAAGTGTCAGTTTCCTCATCTATAAAAATGGGAGAAATAATAGTACTTACACCTCACAGGTTTATTACAGGAATTAAAGAGGGAATGATATGAAACACTTCATACAATGACTGCCACATAGTAAACACTCCAATGTTGTTTTTGTTACTAACAACTTGTAAAACAGAAATGTAGGACAGGAGCTAGCAAGGTTTGAAATTACTTGGAAGAGGCATGAGGGAAATTTCTGGATGATGGTAAGGGTCTATATCTTGATAGGGGTTTCAGTTACACAGGTGTTTGCCTTTCCCAACACTCAACGAATGTCCACCTAAGAGCTGGGCACTTCATTGTACGTAAAATATACATACACACTGAAGTCCAGTTACTCATGTGCATGTTGAATTATTTCAGAGGAAGTGTACTGATGTCTGCAATTTATTTCACAATGCATCAAAAATTAAAATGGATAATGGACGGTTAGGTAGGTGATAAAGCAAGTATAATAAAAGTGTTAATAGTAAAATCTAGGTGGTGGGTATACTGTACTATCCACTGTAAAATTCTTTCACCTTTGCTGTATGTTGAAAATTTTCATGATAAAACATTGGAAAAAAATCAAGTTACTCAAAATTCACACATTCCTAATTTTAAAAAAGTGGCAATTTTATATACTTAAAACTTAAGATAAAGGTTTTTAAAAAAAAATAAAAAATGAAATTCTGGAATCAATGACAAAGTATAAAAACACAATTCTGTACCTGAGTCTACATCTTTACTTCTTGATTTCTTCCCTTTGCCATGAGACATCTTCCTCTTTTTCTGAATTTTCTACCAAAAAAAAAAGCATAGATTTTTATTTGAGAAAAGTTTTCTTTTTCTTAAAACATACAGATTAAGAAGATGGTATTATCAAACAATGTCAATTAATATTTTAGCTATAATTCTCATTTTTTGTTATTGTTTGTGCCACTGAGTCGATTCTGACTCATAGTGACCCTATGTACAACAGAATGAAACACTGCCAGGTCCTGCGCCATCCTCACAATTGTCGTTATGCTTGAGCCCATTGTTGTAGCTACTGTGTCAATCCATCTTGTTGAGGGTCTTCCTCTTTTTCACTGACCTTCTACTTTACCAAGCATGATGTCTTTCTCCAGGGAATGGTCCCTCCTGATAACATGTCCAAAGTATGTGAGATAAAGTCTTGCCTTGTTTCTAAGAAGCATTCTGGCTGTACTTCCAAGACAGACTGGTTCATTCTTCTGGAAGTCCATCGTATATTCAATATTCTTCACCAACACCATAATTCAAAGATATCAGTTCTTCTTTGGTATTTATTCATTGTCCAGCTTTCGCATGCATATGAGGTGACTGAAAATACTGTTGCTTTGGTCAGGTGCACCTTAGTCCTTTAAGTGACATCTTTGCTTTTAACACTATAAAGAGGTCTTTTGCACCAGATTTGTTGAATGCAATGGATCATCTGATTTCTTGACTGCTGCTTCCATGGGCATTTATTGTGGATACTGCCTCAAGTCCTCTTCACTTTCAGAAAGCAAGGCTGTGTCATCTGCATAATGCAGATTGTTAATGAGTCTTCCTCCAATCCTGATGCCACATTCTTCATCATGTAGTCCAGTTTCTCTATTTGCTCAGCATACAGACTGAGTAAGTATGGTGAAAGGATACAACCCTGATGCACACCTTTCCTGATTTTAAAACACTCAGTATCCCCTTGTTCTGTCTGAACGACTGTCTCTTGGTCTATGCACAGGTTCTGGATGAACATAATTAAGTATTCTGGAATTCCCATTCTTCGTAATGTTATCCATAATTTGTTATGATCCACACAGTCAAATGCCTTTGCACAGTCTATAAAACAGAGGTAAACATCTTTCTGGTATTCTCTGCTTTGAGCCAAGATCCATCTGACATCAGCAATGATATCCCTCATTCCACGTTGTCTTCTGAATTCAGCTTGAATTTCTGGAAGTTCCTTGTCGATATACTGCTGCAATCACTTTTGAAATGATCTTCAGCAAAATTTTAATTGTGTGTAATATTAATGATATTGTTCAATAATTTCCACATTCTGCTGATCACCTTCCTTTGGAATGGGCACAAATATGGATCTCTTCCAGTCAGCTGGTCAGGTAGCTGTCTTCCAAATTTCTTGGCACAGACAAGTGAGCACTCCCAGCACTGCATCTGTTTGTTGAAATATCTCAATTGGTATTCTGTCAATTCCTGCAGCCTTGTTTTTCACCAATTCCTTCAGTGCAGCTTGGACTTCTTACTTCAGTACCAGCAGTTCTTGATCATATGCTACCTCCTGAAATGGCTGAACATCGACCAAATCTTTTTGGTACAGTGACTATGTATTCTTCTCATCTTCTTTTGATGCTTCCTGCATCGTTTAATATTTTCCCTGTAGAATCCTTCAGTATTGCAACTCGAGGTCTGAATTTTCTCTTCAGTTCTTTCAGCTTGAAAAAATGCCAAGTGTGTGCTTCCCTTTTGGCTTTCTACCTCTAGGTCTTTGTACATTTCATAATACTTTGTCTTCTTGAGCTGCTCTTTGAAATCTTCCGTTCAGCTTTTACTTCATTTCTTCCTTTTGCTTTAGTTACTTTACATTCAAGACCAAGTTTCAGAGTCTCTTCTGACATCCATTTTTGTCTTTTCTTTCTTTCCTGTCTTTTAATGACATTTTGCTTTCTTCATGTATGATGTCCTTGATGTCATCCCACAACTCATCTAATCTTCAGTCATTAGTGTTCAATGCATCAAATCTGTTCCTGAGATGGTGTGATGATTAAGACTCTGTGTCCACTTGGCTGGGCCATGATTCTCAGTGTTTATATGTGATCATTCCCCTGATGGAATCTGCTGTGAGCAGCCAATCAGTTGAAAGGGAGTCTCCTTGAGGGCGTAGCCTATATCCAAATATAAGCAGGTGTTCTGGCTTTTTGCTCGCTCTGGATCCTGCGGCTGCTTCCTGTTCGTCTGACCTCTGGTTCTTGGTACTTGAACTATCACCTTATCTGCCGATTCTGAGATTCGTCGATCTTTACAGCCTATGAGTGGGAGCCCTGCTCTTCGACCTGCCAATCTTGGGTTTGCCAGCCCCTGCAGCTACGTGAATCAGGAGAAGCCTCTATCCTGATCCACAGACTTGGGATTTTCCAGCATCTACAATCATGTGAGCTGTTCCCTTGATATAAATCTCTCTCTGTATATATTTATACACTTTAGTGGTTTGCTTCTCTAGAGAACCCAGCCTAAGACAGATGGTCTCTAAATTCAGGTAGGATATACCTGTCATGGATTGAACTGTTTCCCCCAAAAATGTGTCAACTTGGTTAGGCCATGATTCCCAGTATAGTGTGATTGTCCACCATTTTGTCACCTAATGTGATTTTCCTATGTGTTGTAAATCCTACCTCTATGATGTTAATGAGGTAGGATAGGAGGCAGTTATGTTAATGAGGAAGGACTCCATCTACAAGATTGGATTGTGTCTTGAGCCAATCTCTTCTGAGATATAAAAGAGAGAAGCAAGCAGAGAGACAGGGGGACCTCATACCACCAAGAAAGCAGTGCCAGGTGCAGAGCATGTCCTTTGGACCCAGGGTTCTTGCGCAGAGAAGCTCCTAGTCCTGGGGGACACTGATAACAAGGACCTTCCTCCAGAGCCGACAGAGAAAGAAAGCCTTCCCCTAGAAGATGGCGCCCTGAATTCAGACTTCTAGCCTACTAGACTGTGAGAGAGGAAACTTCTGTTTTTTGAAGCCATCCACTTGTGGTATTTCTGTTATAGCAGCACTAGATAACAAATACAATACCCAAGGTCATATTTTGGCTCTCGTGTATTTGTTTTAATTTTCTTCAGCTTCACCTTGAATTTACATATGAGCAATTGATGATCTGTTCCACAGTTGACCCCTGGCCTTGTTCTGACTGATGATATTGAGCTTTTCCATCATCTCTTTCCACAGACATAGTCTATTTCATTCTTGTGTGTTCCATCTGGCAAGGTCCACATGTATAGTCACCATTTATGTTGGTGAAAAAAGGTATCTGCAATGAAGAAGTCATTGGTCTTACAAAATTCTATCATGCAATCTCCAGCATCATTTCTATCACCATATTTTCCAACAACTGTTCCTTCTTCATTTCCAACTTTTGCATTCCAATCACCAGTAATTATCAATGCATCTTGATTTACGCATCATCAATTTCAGACTGCGGAAGTTGGTAAAAATATTCAATTTCCTCATCTTTGGCATTAGTGGTTGGTGCGTAAATTTGAATAATAGTCGTATTAACTGGCCTTTTTTAAAAAATTTTATTTATTGTACTTTAGGTGAAGGTTTACAGGACAAATAGCTTCTCATTAAACAGTACACATATTGTTTTATGACATTGGTTAACAACCCCACAACATGTCAACACTCTCCCTTCTCGACCTTTTTTTTTTTTTGGTGAAAATCTACAAAGCCAAAGATCAGCATTTCAAAAATTTCTACTAGTACAATTCAGTGACATTGATTACGTTCTCCCAGTTGTGCTGCTATTCTCACTTCAGATGAAGGTTTACAGAACAAAATAGTTTCTCATTGAACAGTTAGTACCCATGTTGCCCTATGACAATGGTTAACAACCTTATGACACGTCAACACTGCCCTTATTCAACCTTGGGTTCCCTATCACCAGCTTTCCTGGCCCCTCCTGCCTTCTAGTACTTGTCCCTGGACTGCTGTGCCTCATTAGTCTCATTTTGTTTTATGGGGCTGTCCAATCCCCGGCTGAACGGGGTACCTCAGGAGTGACTTCACCACTGAGCTGAAAGGGTGTCTAGGGGCCTTACTATCAGGGTTTCTCCAGTCTGTCAGGCCAGTAAATCTGGTGTGTTTTTTTTGTGTTAGAATTTTGTTCTACAACCTTCTCCAACTCTGTCCAGAACCCTGTTGTGATCCTGGTCAGAGCAGTCAGTGGTGGAAGCCAGGCACCATCTAGCTGTAATGGACTCAGTCTGGTGGAGGCCTTGGTAGCTGTGGTCCATTAGTCCTTTGGACTAATCTTTTCCTTGTATCTTGTTCTCTTCATTCTCCCTTGCTCCCGAAGGCATGAGACCAGTGGAGTATCCTAAATGGCTGCTCACAGGCTTTTAAGACCCCAGACGCTACT